GCGCGTTAGTCCCACCACACACCTCTCCCCTTCAGTTACTAAGCGCGCCACATGTTCTAACTGTACCATTTTTAGCTGAACAACATAATCCAATCGACACTGGAATCAGTACTGGATTTGAAAATGTTCCCAAGAACAGGATTAACGGTGACTTTCTCCTCATAGCAGTTCAGTTCTCTAAGCAGTATTATTCCCTTCTGAAACTGTAATCTCACAAATATTCAAGGTAACGGTGCACTTGCTCCAAGCCGATGGAAGTGTTGGAGGAGCTGCACTTACTGCTGTTGGATTAGCAGTATTGGATAATGGAATATCAATCAGGTACATTGGGCGATCTCGAAATGTCGCGCAGCTGATTTGTATTTCGATGGTTTTGAGCTCTTTATGGTCGCCTGAGATCTCGAGTGGTTTCAGAGCTCCTTTCTGCGGCGTAGAAGTGTGCCAAGTGGATGGTAAATTGGTGTTGGATGCAGATGCCAGAACACAAGCGAGAGCGCAAGCCACTTGGCTGTTTGCTTTCATTAGGAAGGCTGATGTGAGTCAATAATCCGAGATTCAACTTAAGCGTTTTTAGGGTGTTAGTGAGGAAGGGGCCGCGGCTGAGAAAAGTCTGCTATAAATCATAAATTCATAGACAGTGATTTAGGGTGATGCTGAAATGGTGGCTTCTGACTCTTTTGGCCCATTCAAGATGGACACATTCGCGTCAGCACTGAGTTTAGCACGAATGGGAGCACAGCAGATATTCTCCTTCTACAAGGAAATGATGGAAAGAAAACTAAGCGTCGACGTCTTCCCGAAATCGGAATAGGTATTGACACCATTTTCAGTTGCTAGAAGTAGCAGAACGATTGTTGGGTAAAGAATCACTATTGTTATCGATAGGCCGCGATGATTTCCTTGTTCTCCTCTTCTGATCTGATTCGGAGATGACTCTCTTTTGCGACCTTGAAGTCACATTCCATGATTGCAGTAGAGGAATCTCTTCCTGTTCAACATAGTCCTGTCTACAGATGCAGAGATCATACCATTTTTGTGTCTCGCCAGTGAGTGAGAAGGCGCTGAGGTAACCGTTCAGCAGTAACCCCGCCCACCAGTTGGTAGCAACATATCAAAATATCAACTGTAAGGTGGGGTTACTACCGAGGGTGCAAAGACGCTGCTGTGCGGCACCTTTTTTGACGGCCTGGCTCCTATTGCTGTTTTCTTATCATTTGTCTAGTGTCCCTTGCCCGTGTCTACAGTGCCTTTTCGTCTCTCGCTTTTCACATGGTCGCCAAAATCAAAATTAACTGCTAAAAGAGGCCTTTTTTGGATTCTATTTACTTCCCCGTCTATTGATTTAAAACTGACCCCGCTACCCACGACTGCAATCGAGGAATGTGTCTTTAAGTACAAAGGGGCGTGGTCAACCAATTTTTATTTGTTGAGCCTGCCAGCTATACCCAGATGTGTGACCATTTCCGATATAATGTTTTTATAACGTTCGATGGTTACATTCTATGTACAGTCAATGTTTGCGAATAATTTGTTGATTTATTTGTTATTTCAAGTGAAAATAAAAACATAATAAACTGTTCAATCTAGGGTGCACCGTAGAAGGGATATTCATACGTTGCGCCTTCGATTCCTGAAATATCCTTGTATGCGATGGATACTTTACTGCTGTGTATTTCTATTGGCTTTTTTGGCGCTAATAACCTTTCGGGGAGGGAGGCATGCCTGTAGGCGCTTATCAGCCTGACAAGTCCTGTAAACTGTATATGTGAATACCGCACAACCTTGTCAACACCCTGTAAGCATTGCTACTCCTGTCGAGCACTCTGTAGCTCTTGTCAAGCTGACAGGACTTTATAGGGTTCTTGACAGGAATTTACAAGAATTTCAGGGTGAAACATGCTCGTGACAAGAAGAAGCTAGACATTGAGAAAGTTAACAGGTAAGGCACTTTCCTGCCCTCTCTCCCCTCCGAGGTTATTAGCGCCCAAAACTTCTTTCCACTCACTTGCGTCTCGTCGTTCAATCATCCATCGTCTCAAGTAAATCGCAAAATCAGCTGCATATAGGACAAAGTTCGCGAAGCACGCAAACTGAAAGATCTTCTAGAATCAAAGTGAAAAAAGGTTTTTCTAAATGTGGTGATTCACGTCCTGTACTCCCTCCGTTGTACTGGCTGCATACTGGTGGTGAGTACCTTCTTCAGAGATACAGTTATTCGCTGCGGATGAGGGGGCGTGCCAACCAGGCTGAACTGGGCGCACCGTCAGCCGTTTTCCATTAATCGTTGAAGCGGATAGAAGACAAACTGGTGGAAAACGACTGACGTGAACGATACGATACAGTTTTGTTGCTTGAAGAAAGAAAATGGAAGAAAACGGGCTGGCGCCGCGCCAAACCCATTCCTCCTTGACAAGTCCCATCATATGCAGCGAAGGAGGCTATACACGTTGCGATGACGCGGCAAAAGTAACGCCGCGTGCGCTGCGTCCGCACGAGGACCAAATTGGTTAAATTATTGTGGAATGTGCTACAGTATATCGAGTGTACCCGCTAGTTTATGCCCCTAATCCAGTCCAAACAAGTCTTATACACGTCTGGACCAGTGAACTGTAACCAGTTCTATCTTGGAGGACAAGAAATCTGCTCTACACACTGGATCCCCTCCAAACCCCCCTCCCCCCTTCCCTTGAAGCATTTTATAGCCCACATAACATTCAGTAAGCCACTGCGATTCTGAATAGAAGTAGAATGCGTGCCGCATCCAGGAAGGGTTCCATTAACGGCAAAGACTTCATCCTCAAGCCAGGAAGGGTTTCATTAACGGCAAGCTTTTAAGGTCACGAATCTGAATTGTTGAGTGGAGAGAAAACTCACCGCCGCTAAGTAAAACCAGCCACTTTCGGTATATTCTTCACCACTAAACGACATCCATATGGAGATGAAATAGAAGATGCTCAAAGTCAAAGAAGATGCGCTTTCCTGTAAATGATATATGTAACAATCTTAATTCTAGAGGGGTACAAAAAGTGGTTACAAGCAGAAAATGGTTGAGTAATGAACGTTGGCACTGTCTCAGAAAATGATGTTGACATTCAATGTCTTCGGAAGGAATTCCCATAGACTCACGTTCACAAAAAAAAACCGGAGACTAGGGGCGTAACTTAAAAATCCTGTTGTACTCGCGTTTCGATGAATTACACGGGCTTGTGCCTCTGGAAAGATCAACCATGCGGCGTTTTCCGTAGCTCAAG